AAAAAAAAAAAAAAAGGGGGGGGAACAAGGAGTAGAGGGGAAAAATACGAGAGACACCTCACTTTTGTTTCCCTGTGCCCAAGGTGCCCTCGCCAGGGAGGAGGTAGCAGCACCTCTAACCCGCTGCTCACACAGCAGCAAATGGCAAGAAGCTGTGTTTGCTCTGTTCCAACTCCCAGGTGTGTTTGTGCGAGCAGCAGACCCTGACCTGATTTTGTTCTACGCTATGAACACAGATATGTCACAACTGTCAAGAGAAGCAACAACTGATCCACATGACCTCTCAGCCAGATTTCAGCTGGCATTAAAATGGCTGTGCGGCTACAGGATGGGGGAATTTCTGCAAACTGCTGCAAGAGCTTTTAGGCACCGATGTGTCCCCTCAGAGAGGATATGTAGATGGACTGGTACTCCTATAGAAATATGAATGTATCTTTGGAATAATGTTTATTTATATGTTTGAATTAACAGCAAAAAGACAACATAATAATATCTTCCAGATGTGGCATATATCAGCTCCCACGTCTACATATTTTCTTTAGATTAGAAACTTGTTGTAGATAATGACTGATAAATGCTTTAAGATTAAATATTAGCAAGACATGATGCAGGAAAGTTCAATCCTGTCCTGGTTGTGGCTGATTTTATGATCGTCACTTAATAATTAGTCTAAATACGGTTATGTGTTTAGATGCAACAGAGTAAAGTGAAGTTTATTGGAAAAATGTTGTATAAGGAATAACACACAGTTCTGATCATCTTGAAGATGATATTAATTTTGGACTTTGATTTACTTTTTTTTTTTTTTTGTATTTATTTATTTTCCTTGGTGGAGTGATTCGGTGACATGCAACAATAGTTTTTTTAAAAATGACAATTGGATCCAGAAGTTTAAACTGGTTGTAAATTTTCTCTGTTCTACAACACCGAAACAAAATGGGCCAGCACTCACTCTTCATCTTTTGTTGGACTACATCTGGCTTTTGTTACGGCATTCATTAACTGTTGCATAGTTGTGCACAATGCCACAAGATTTATCGTGGCATTGCCATGTTGGATTGTGCCGGTGCTGGGTAATCTGGTCATTCAGGTATATTTACGCTGGACTCTTCAGACCACTTAACCCTTTTCTGTTCTTCTGGAGTCCAATCTTCATTCTCCCTTACTAATCAAACCCCTTTTCTCTGGTTAGCCTCACTGATTAGTGGTTTTCTTAAGGCAACACAGCTGTTCACTCCCAATCCCTTCAGTTCCTTTCGCAATGTGCATGAGGAAATTTTCGGTAACACTTTATTTGAAGGGGGGGTGAATAAGACTGTCATGACACATGTCATAAACATGACATAACACCTGTCATAAACATGAATAAGCCTTCATGAATATTTATGACTGTTGTCATAAAGCGTCATGCGGTAAATTATGACACTTTTAATACAAAGTTGACATTATTCAAAATGTCTTTGTTGTGACAACTTGACATTAACCAAGAAATCATTACTGATATAAATTTGTTAT